CAGCCTCCCGAGTAGCTGGGACTACAGGCGCCACCATGCCCAGCTAATTTTTTGTATTTTTAGTAGAGACGGGGTTTCACCGTGTTCGCCAGGATGGTCTCGATCTCCTGACCTTGTAATCCGCCCGCCTCGGCCTCCCAAAGTGCCGGGATTACAGGCGTGAGCTACCGCGCATGGCTTGTGATGCCTTTACTGACTCAGATCCCTCACTCTTCGTGTGACTCACACGCAAAGCTCACAGCCACTGTGTTTTTTAGTTCCTGCACATATGTTCAGCCATTGTTCCCAGCACGCTGCTCCGCCAGCAAGGCCTCCTGGCTTTACCCACACACAGAGTAAGTAAAGCGACCCCTGCCGTAACACTAAAAACCTTATTTCTTGCCCACCTCTTAGCTAGGTTGAGCCTAGACCTTGATGGTAAGTTATCCTTTGAGACCTGTGTTCATCTTTTCTCTAGCAAATTCAGTTGGGCTTGTTCTCAGCAGTCAGGGACGTTCAAATAATGTTGCAGGAAGAGATCAGAGCTCCCTTTCCCTTTTGTTATCACATCTGTACCTTGAGGTTTTTTTCTGTCCGGTGTGGCAGCTTTTGTTAGATAGCAGAAGGCTCCACATTATCCTTCAATAGAGTCGTGGGCACCAACTTGCAGTTGGCCCCTCAAGTAATGTGTTTCCATAATAATGAAAATCTCTCAGGCTACTTCAAGTTTTTTAAATATTTTAAAATTCTACCTCACAGGAAGTCATTCAATAGAATTCTCTGTATCTAAAGTAGGTAATTTGGATTTAACAGAGCTAAGCTCATCCATGACTCATGAGTGTCCATGTATAAAACAGGGCTTTATACTTGTTTCAGCAGCACATATTCTAAGACTGGATCAATACAGAGCAGATAAGCATGGCTGCTGCCTGAGGATGGCACACAGATTCAGAAAACATTCCACATGTTGCACAGTCCCAAGAAGGTCATTTGACTATTTGTTAACTAGCTCCAAGGAAACACTGCAAGTCAGACCAAAACAGGAGACATCCAATATTGAAATTGTTGTTACTGTTATTATAAACGTATTCACGTAAGGTGATCTGTGAAATGAGAACAGCGCTGAGTATGGGATGTTACATGCAAATATGTTGTTAGTCCATGACTTGGAAATGAGGAAACGTTAACGTGCATCTCTTTCGTGGAACCAAAAAACAAGACAAGCCAGGTTTTGTCTTGTATGTCAGTTGGAGAGGACCAAGAAGATGCAGCCTCTAACACAGACCTGCTGCCTCTGAGTTTGAGGAAGTAGAGAAGGAATGGTAGTTGTCCAAGTCAGGTTTTGACATTTATGAGTTTTCTGCCCTTGGTGTGATTGATGAGCTCAGGAATAGTGAACAATTAGGTAATCTATTTTAATGAGATAATAATATATTTATATATAAATTTAGTTACAAGTTATGAATTAGCTAAAATGCCCTGAACTACAAGCCACAATGAATAGAACTGATAACCAAAATTAGCACTTAGTAACATTTTCTGAAAACTGTGACATTCAAATATTAGAACCTATGAAAAAAACGCCCATCAGGTTTTGAGATTCCAAAATTGTTTCAGCAATACAGTTCAAGAATAAATTATTCCATTGCTTTACTATTTCTCTGAATATTTAAACATGTTATCTCATTATATTCTCCTAACAACCTAGTGAAGTAAGGTAGTAAAATCCTTATTTTTTTGAAAAAGCCATGGAGCCTAAGAGAAGCAACTGGTCTAAAAACAAAATACCTATGGGTTACAGAGTGAGGACTTACTCTGAGTGCAGGACACTTTCCAGGATGTTAAGCTAACTAGAAATAATTTACTGAGCTACGCTTCTCTCAGTTTATGAGTACTTCATGTTTTTCTTCTTTAATCAGAAGCTTAGTAAGTTTATAGAGCTTAAAATTTTAAAGTGTATAGGACATTAGAGTTCTGATATTAGCTCTGATATTGTCTGAAATGCTTTAAGAATTTAATATATTTGGTAAATATTTTTCATATCACTATTAAAATAGTAATTTTATTTATTACATTTATTATGCATAGCATCCAACAACAAATTTTGGAACATAAAAATAAGATACTTTAAAATGATCTTCAAAACGACAGTCAAGGTAAGATTTCTTATAGTAAATTTCTCATTTCTCTTGGTGGTCTTATTGATTTTAAAAAGTAAGATTATAGGCCAGGCACAATGGGTCACGCCTGTAATCCTAGCACTTTGGGAGGCCAAGGCAGGTGGATCACCTGAGGTCAGGAGTTTGAGACCAGCCTGGCTAACATGGCAAAACCCGTCTCTACTAAAAATACAAAAATTAGCCAGGCGTGGTGGCAGGCACCTGTAATCCCAGCTACTCAGGAGGCTGAGGCAGGAGAATCACTTGAACCTGGGAGGTGGAGGTTGCAGTGAGCTGAGATCGCACCACTGCACTCCAACCTGGATAAAAGAGCCAAGACTCCATCTCCAAAAAAAAAAAAAGTAAGATTATATAGTTTTAATCATAAAAGAGCAGTTTTAAATATATATGTATATAAATTAATTTTTAAATTTAATTTCTTTAGTTTAGAATTCAGAATTAACAAGTTAGTTGTAGCTAATTCATAATCTCGCAGTATTGTCTGAAAACCATGCATTTACCTACTTATGTTCCCTGAAATTCTACATGATATTTTTGTGTAAATATAAATAAGAAATTAGATTTTTAAGTTAGTATGTTTTATTTTCCTCTATAATCACATTATTACAAATTGGACTTGTGATGCAAATGGATCTTCTATTTAATTTTTATAATAAATGGTTTGTATTTAGTAAATAAATATTAATTATAGTTGATTCTTGAATAATAAGGTGGTTAGTGGCTCTGATCCCTGTGCAGTTGAAAACCATTGACTGGCAGCCTTACTGATAACATAAACAGTCCATGAACACATATGTGGTATGTGCTGCATTATTAGATACTATGTTTGTACAATAAAGTAAGCTAGAGAAATGAAGCTGTTATAAAGAAAATCATAGAAAAGGAAAAAATGCACTTACTATTCATAAAGCAGAAGTGAATCCTCCCAAAGATCTTCATCTTCATCATCTTCAGGTTAATTAGGCTGAGGAAGAAGAAAAAAGGTTGGTTTTGCTGTCTCTGGGTTGCAGAGGCAGAAGGAAAATCTACATCTCAGTGGGCCCCTGCAGTTCAAACTCTGTTGTTTGAGGGTCAACTGTATTACACAGGAGTCTGTGTCACTAAGAAAGTAACTCTCTTCAGAACTGGGAGCTCAACAATCCCTTTCTGATACCGTAAACAAATGGAAATAAGAACCATAAAACTGAGCCAGTGTGCACTCATACAAATAGGAGATTATTTTTGAAGATACCTACTGAATGCAGAAGATGGGAAAGTAACTGCTTTACAAGAAGCAGAAGTTATGCTACATATGCTTATACAAACAAGGTCTATTTTTTTCCTCATTCTCCACAAGTTGGAACCTCATGAGGTATATTCACTTCTTAAAACAAGCTATTTTTAAAAATGTGCTGAACAATTAAAATATTAATTTTGTTGGAACAAGATACTCTGTTACCAGGCTGGGCGCAGTGGCTCATGCTTGTAATCCCAGCACTTTGGGAGGCTGAGGCAGGCAGATCACTTGAGATCAGGAGTTTGAGACCAGCCTAACCAACATGGTGAAACCCCATGTCTACTAAAAATACAAAAATTAGCCAGGAACGGGGACAAGCACCTGTAATCCCAACTACTTGGGAGGCTAAGCCAAGAGAATTGCTTGAACCCAGGAGGTGGAGATTGTAGTGAGCCAAGATTGTGCCACTGCACTCCAGCCTGGGTGACAGAGCAAGACTCAAGACTCCATCTCAAAAAAAAAAAAAAAAAAAACTCTGTTACCATTTGGCAAAAGATGATCATAATAAATATTACAGTAGCCAAACTCTAGGCTCAAAAAAATAAAATTATAAAAATGGTTCACAATAACAAAAATATAACACCAAATGCATTGTACAATCTGAACTGTGTAAAGACACCATTAATTTAGTACATATTTATCAAACCACTTCTATAAGTTAGGTTTGACAAATCGCAGCAGATAAGATGGAATTGAATAGTTTTTGTCTTTAAGGTACTCAGAATACAGATAACTATGTAATTTTTGTGTTTTTTTACCAGAATTTTTAAGAAAAAATATTTTAATTCATTCATACACTTTTCCACTTAAAAAATAACTATCATGTGTCTTTTGTGGACTAAACATTTTTCCAATGTTACAAAATCCATTTAAAAAATACAGTTAGGAGATTGTGAATACCAATGTCATTTATTTACTACCTTATGTAGTGCTTACTGTGTGCCCAATGTCATCTGGGAGTTTATTGTTATAATTTATTATGTATGTATTATGTTCAGTATGTGCCAGGCACTTTTAGATTTGTGGTGATGAATGCAAGCTTCTAAAATCTGGGTCAAATTTAGGGTAAGCATGCAGAGTGAGTGGAACTTTGCCAATAAGGAGGCAGAGGGATGATGCTTGGCAGAAGGAATATCTAACAAGTTGCATGTTTGACAGAAGCAGCAGCCATGAAGAATGAAAGTTTTTAAAAAAGGAGGAGCAATTTTAAAACGTGGGATACCTGAGTGAACTTTGTAGAGTTTATGAGCAGTTCAAATTTACTAGTGCAAAAAAAATTATATGGGAGTGGTTGGTAATGAGGTGAAAATAGCTTATAGTTATTATTTATTATGTATTTATTATGTGCAGCATGTGCCGGTGAAGGCAAGCTTAGCAAAGATTTTGTTGTTGTTGTTGTTTTACCTGTGTCTAGAAACAAGTTCAATGAAAGACTTTTAATAGTATAGAAATGAGTAGATCTTATCCTGTAGGCCAGGGGAAACTTCTCGGGTAGAATGCTTTTGGCTGCAAATACTAGAAGACCTAGCTAACAGTGGCCAAAACCATAAGAACCAGACTTTGTTTGGTTGTCCAGTGATATAATTGGATCCCACTTGTTCCTCTTTCAGCTATGATGTTGGCAGTATCTTGTTCATTTCTCCTTTCATGGTTGGCTACTTAGCAACAGCTCCAAACATCACGTTCTCACAAGATAGTATCTAAAGCTGGAAGGGCTGCTTTTCTTCACATGTGTCTATTAAATTGGGAGAAAACTCAGAAGTATGCAGGGGACTTTTTGTAATTTTTTTTTTTTTTTTTTTTGAGACAGAG